TTACTCTTGAGGGTGTAGGCTTTGGAAGTCATGGATTGGATAAAATACTACTCTTTGCCATTATTTGTACTAAATGACTGTTATCATTATTGAACCCATGATGTGTATAGATTGGCCAAAGCCAAGTAGAATTCAACTTGAATTCTAAAATTTTGATCTTAATTTAAAATGATTTGAATTTCAAAATTCAATTAAATTAGATCGTATAAAAGTAATATTGGATTCTTTTTTACTTGGTAATAGGAAATATTAATTCAACAGTCATTTTTATACATGGGTGTTGACAATTAGGGTTCGCATTGTCGCCGTTTTAGTGAAAGAGAGATTATAATAGATAATATAGTCTAATAATGTATATATAGACAAAATATATAAATAAATAGAGTACTAAAATATTACACATTTCAATCATGGGTTTGTCAATGCAAAGACTAAGAACTAGATAATAATTATTAATCTCATCGATTAGGTCATTTAATCTTTGTTAGTTTGTTAGTAGTTTGGTCCATTGTTGTAACCAAATCAAGCCCAACACAACCATGAAATCATTGTTAGATGAGGTTGGGATTTTAGAACAGACCCAACCCGACTGAGGCTCACCCCCAAACCCAATCACCACTGAGCACACTGTTGAAGTCCTATCCACGTTACGGTAATACAACGAAACGAGCTATTTGGACTCAATACATTGGACTTGAAGACCGGCACAATGATAAAAGTAGTGAAAGTTGAGAGTGAGTCTCCCAGAACTTATAATGATTTTAGTTATAGAAGAAAATTTATTTGGGAGTAAATCTATATTTAAACTTATATGTAAGTACTTAAATTCACTTATTTTTTATATCTTAAAATTATTCATAACGGTGTTAATTTTTCTCAATTATGAAAAATTACATAAGTTAGATCATTGAATTATATATAGAAATCCCGAGTTATATATGAAAACCGTTTGTTAAATATTATGATAATTAACAGAAGTTTTATATGAAAGTCATATATTCTGATAGTTATATATGAAAAGCTTAATGTACGAATAAATTGTTAGTTTATTAAATCAAAATTATATCACAAAATTTCTTTAACAACAGTAATGCATAATATAGGAAGGTTGAACAATGCCAACAGAGTTCAGTAATACGAATGTTAATATATAGTAACATTTATGTTATTATATGATTGAAATTACAATTACGGTCATGTTACCAGTACAATCATATTATTATACTGACACTAATGTTACTATAGTGAATTTTAATATACAATTGCAAATCTTAAGACGTATATTATGTAACATACACTTTAATATTCACAGTAACATCAAATTTTTGTGCTCAGTAACATATCGAATTTTACAAAATATAAGTCAATAATTTTTTTACAGTAATATCAACTTTTGAATGATTTTAGTGAATATACGATCCACAAATTTACAAAATGACGAGTAGTAATACACAATCGACAATTGAATTACGACACTCAACATCAATTGTGAACATCAAGATATTAAAATTCTAAACTTTATTTTTCAGTTCACATACAGTAATATGAACTTTTTTCACAGTAACACAACCAAGGAATACTCAATTGTCTTGCGCAACAAAAAAAAATCAATAAAATTGAAATTTATAACACTTTATTTTAGTACTAATGCATGAGTTCTCTTGAATCTTGATTATAAAGTTAATGCCCACTTTGATAGAATTAAATCCTTAATTGTTATTACTTTTTAACCATATTACTATTTTTTTGTAACCATGTTACTATTTTTTTAGTGACAATGTTACTGTCTTTATTCAGTATGTTACTATTGTTAATTTTTAAATATTAATATTCAATATTAATATTTTGTTGATGGAGTCCAAAATAAACTGAAATAGTAAATTGAAATTATATTTTATGAAATGTAATGAGTTTGAAATTTAAATATGAACATTTTTTTGTAAATGTCAGTTTCTTATTTTTCGGATAAAGAAACATTGTGGCTTGGAAGATTATAGTCGGATTTAAAAGTGATTATGAAGGAGATGTATATGGCTAGTTATTGTGTCAATAACATCGTTTATAACATTCTTAAAGAAAAATGTTACAATAGTAAAATTGACAAAAAATAGACTTAAAACCAAATAAGTTTTCTTGACGGACTTATCTCCAAATAAGTCCATATAGGAGAACCGGCTTCCAAATTTTCCATAAAAGTACAATACTCTCTATTAGGGTGTCAACCGTGTTGAATTAAGTGGGTTTATATCATGTTTATTCAAATTCGTGTGAAAAATTATTCAACTTGTACATGATTCAATTAAGGTAAATTTGAAGGCCGATTTTCCTTTGTGGACTTATTTGATGATAAGTTCATCAAGAAAACTTGCTTCATAGTATAAGTCCATTTTGATTTTTTTGTCTAAAATACTCTCATTAGTTATTTTAATTACAATAAATTTGAAAATTAATAACTCTTAAATTTTAAAAGTTTAACTAACATTAAAAAATAGTAACTTTCAAAAATAAAAAATAGTAACATTTAATATTAATATTTGAAAAAAATAACAGTAGTAACATGGTCAAAAAAAAGTAACATTGAATATTGATATTTCAGAAAAATAATAACATTTAATATTAATAGTAGCATACTCATCAAAAAAATAGTAACATGCGCAACAAAAAATAATAACATAAAAAAAAAATAACAACATGTATAGTAACACGTATAATAACATTTAATATTAAATTAACCATAGTCTTTTAAAAAAAATGAGAGAGATAATAGTGATGTCTAATTTAAATTTGAATTCAAATTTTATGGAAAAAAAAAATCTTCCATTAAGTGTGAATTAAGGATGACTGTTTAGGAAACTAAATTTAATTTTGAAGATTATTTTTTAAATCATTAGAATGACATTTTTGAGTTTTGAAAAAATAGTGGATTTAACTATTTATTAGTAATATAAAAAACAGACTTATCCAAATAAGTTTTCTTAGGGGATGAAACTCATTATAACTTCCTTAAAGATGATTCAACCCCAATTTTCACTTCATTTAATTAAGTGGGTGAAAATTTATGAACCGACTACAATTCGTTTATTAAATGAGTTACTCGACATGATTCATTTAACTCGTTTAATAATTTTTTTTTATTATTATAATTTTAAATTTTATTAAATTTTTTTAATTGATCTAATTATTAGACTGCATATATTATTCTGACTAAAAAAATTTAAATAATTATTAATTTATTATAATATTAATTCTATTTAAACGGATAAACGAGTGATAAACGAATACAACCCAATTATCAAACGGATCTAGCAGGTTTATCCATTTACCACCGGCACAGACCTCACCTAAACACGCTTAACTCCGTATCGGCTAATCATGTCATGTCACATTTTAACAAACTTATTGTCTACATATCAACGAAAGCAATTAAAATTGAAAAGCCAGTGAAAAATCATATTTTGCATCTCAAAGTGACCATAATATTAGATCATGTCATTGTCATATCACTATATTAACAAATTAGAATAGTTTTTTAGGTCCCGACAAAAAAAAACATTAAAGAGATAGGGTTTCTTACAAGAAAAAGAGAGGATGTTTTATTTTTGTCCCTTACTTTTTAGGGTTTGTTTTGTATCTCCAACTCTCATTGTAAAACAGTGGACTAAAAAACAAAACAAGACATGTTTCTCTCCAAGTAATAGTTTGTCCAAATTCATTGCCAAGATAGGAGTCTAGATTAACATATTCATTGAGCCAGGAAGGAGTTGAAGAAGCAACCATGAGCAAAACAAATCTGAATGAGTCACTTACAGATAGGAGTGGGGTTTAAGGTAGATTACATAAAGAACAAGGAAGGTGTATAAATGACAATGGCAAAGGAGGATCACCTTCCATTGGACTTGAACACACACAGATCTTTTCATAATATTGGTCAAAACCATATTTAATGAGTATAGTTGTGTTATTACAAGTAATTTGTGTAAGACAGCTCAATTACAGAGATCACGGATTCAAAACGCGTCAATGACAAAAAAGGGAGTAATAACAGACCAAGGTTCTTCAATTGTTTGGTCCTATCTATTTTACAAGAAATTGACTAAATGAGGTACGGTATTAAAGTTTACAAGTTTTGTAGGTTAAGATATAAATTTTTGGGATCTAGTTGTAAGTTAAAAAAAAAATATCGGTTTGATCCTAAAAACCTACGACTTTTAGATGTCAACTTTAAACACCCTCTAAGTTTTTTACTTTGTATCTTGAAATATTTTAAGATTCTTATTTTATACTCTTAAAGTTTAAATTTTTTACATTGTACCCTAAATTTATCAAAAGTATTACAATATAATTTATATAACCCTATTTATAATCCTTCTGTTAGCCTTTTATTAGTTTTTTCGTTAATATCAATGGGTTGACTTTTGACGAAAAAAATAACATAAGCTAATAGAAGTGCCACATTGCAACATTTTTGATATATTGAGGGTGCAATGTGAGCAATTTAATTTTTGAGGATAAAAAATAGGTATCTCAAAATCTTTCAGGTATAAAATGCAGAAAGCCCAAAAGTATATAATCAAAAGGTACCTTAGTTCGTAAATACAAGGGGAAAAAATATAATAAGAGAAGCACAATTTGTACGTTTGAATCTGTCTAGTCTGATATGAATGCATGGGAATGAAAGAGTTGTAAGCAATAAATACTTACATGGTTTTGTTGTGATACAATAGTATACCTGTGGAAATTACAAAGCAATCCAAAAAGACATGAAAAGATTATAATCATGCAATTATGTAAGTGCTCATAAGAGTATAAAATGAGACAACTTAGCTTGATTAGTTTCATTCACACCCTTGCCTTCACTAACAGCTCTCCTCGGGTCTGTTTTGATTCCAATCACTTCTTACATGGAGTTGCCTTCATCGCCACAGCCGACATGTTGCCTCTGGCATTCCACGAAGAAGAAAGATAGAGGTGACAACAAGACCACCAACATTTCTGATTTGAATTACTACTATGGAGATTGGGGCATGGACAAGAATATTTACTCCGAGAGCATGTTTCCGGTGAAAGAGCAGGAGTGCATGATGAAGAAGGCTGCGAAGGAGAAGGGTAACATGGAGGCCAAGAAAGCTCTCAAATTTTCAAGGAATGAATCAAGGAAGTATGGAAAATAAGAAGCACATTCATGAACATGGTCAAGTGCTGGTTATAATTTTGTCATTTTATTCTAATTCTGTTTCTTCTAGTTTAATCTTTATCATAGGCTTATTTCGAAAAAAAAGTTTGAATTCTCTATATTATCTAGTTCTTGACATCAAAATAAAACATATGTACCCTCTCTGACGTTTGATGCGATTGTATGCTTGGCATACATTATTGCTTGTAATTTCATTCTTATGTCGGTAATTTCGCATTTTTGCTAGGAAACACCCTAATAAATTATAATCAGATTAATTAAATTGCCATAAGTAGTGTTTTCAGAGAAAATTTTTTACTTTAACTAACCACTTAAAAGGAGTAACACCAAGATTTTCATTATATCAAACTTATCCCAATACAGAAATTTTGCGACTGAAGAAAAATATATAATTAAGTGTTTTTGTGCATTTTATTCAAAGAAAAAAAAAACTTTACAAAGCGTCAAATACACGGCAAAAAATGGGACTAAGATGGTTTATTGCATAATATGCATTTTGACATAGAAACACCACACACACCTGAGGGTTGCTTCTTCAACACTTGAATGCCTTTATTTGATTAGCATAAGCAGCTTAGTGATTTTATTCTCTTATCCCTTATTGTGATTCTTGATCAAATTATGTACCAAGATGTCTAGATCTGGATTTGTAGATCCCTAAGAGGTGTAATCAAACGATTGTATTTGAATCTGAAAGTAACTGTTAAAATATGATTGATTGTTGGTGGCAGTTATAATTTAAATATTTCAGTGTTTGTAAATCAATAGACATGTCTTTGTGCTCTTGAATAGCCATCAAGTTCTATCATTCCAGATTACTTTCAATTTACTACAATAACTCTCCCTCTAAGGCTTCAACTCTTTCTACTTATTATTATCTTTTCTTCTGGAATTTGTTCTCTACATAAACAAAATTTCAGTGTCTTGGCAAATTAGAAAAACCTGAATGTATTCGGGTTTGACTTCGTTTGTGTATTACACAGTCAAACATCATATGCATAACATGAGCAATCCCAAAAAAGACTCGGATTTAGAATTACTCAAGAAAATCAACAAAACAATAAACTCACAATTACTTAATAGTTTCATCCTCTTGCCTTACAATATTTTTGATTGCAGAAACATCCAACCTTGCTGATTCTTGCTTCACCCATTCCACCACCCTCTCAGCCTCCCTACAAACTCTCTTTTCCTCCGCCATCGCCTTCTTCAACCTTCGCTCTTGTTCTTCCACTGAAAAAGTACTCATATCCGAAAGAATTTCTCCATTTCTTCCCCAATTACCATTGTCTTCAATGTCAAACTTTGAAAGACAAGCAGTTCCCTTGCTCTTCTTTCTGTGATTCTTTGGTGAAGAGTACCAAAAGCAACAGATTGGCCTTGGTGGAGATCCTGACTCCATCTTAATGAATCAGTTGGAATCTAATCTTAAAGGAGAGAGAGAGAGAGAGAGAGAGAGAGAGAGAGATCAAACCATATATTGATGGTATTCAAATTCAGATTAATTTGAACCTCAACTCAACAAAACGTCGCCCCAACGAAACAATGGATGGCACCGCTTGAACTCGAATCGGACGAACTACGCCACGACATTGAATACCTAAAATCCCAGAAAGAAATGGGTGTTGGATACTAGTAATCACCTGCTAATTCAAACCCGAAATTGAACCATAGAGCAGCCAAGGTTGAGATAATTCATTGACCTCTACAGGCTGAATGTTCAAACCTCAACAATAATTATCATTTTTAGCCACCCAAATTACATAATGCTGAGTCGTTGGGACCCATTTCCAAATTTTTTCAGTCCATAGGATTACAATTATGAGACCTAACTCGCAGCAGAAAACAAATTCTGAGACATAAGAAATTGCATATGTACTTTAAGAGTAGGTGGCGGGTAACATCAAAGCTATAATGGAGCACGCAAAGCTTGCATGGTAGTCAAATTGCAAATAAATAATTTATTAGTTAGGCTTGTTAATAGTGGTGGATAAGGTGGATTCATTTTAAAAAATACTCCACTCATTTCAGTTTTGTTTTTTAATTCGTGCCTAACAAATCGTATCATATTAAGTTCTTGTCATGTATAAAATAATTGTATTGTGTATTTTTGTTGATTAATTACACTCATACGCGATTCATTTATAAATCGTACTATATTAGGTCTACTCATTTACGAAATTAGCTTAAAAAAACTCACTCATAAATTGTATGTGTCAGAAACATTGACACTCATACTTTTTTTTGGGTACTAAAATAGGGGAGGGCAGGTAGTAATTTATGAACGTAAGCATGAGAGTCTCCCACTATAGAATGTCTAGCTTGAGTCATAATTATTAATCCAGAAAGGTAGTTCGTCACCATAATACCACTAAACCCAAATAACAAATTGAATTAGTATCGTAAATCGAACCTTACTTACAATCAACATGAGAGTTAAAGAACGATTCTAAACTGATACGATTTACCAGTAAACCACCAGCTTAGATGGTGCGGTGGCAAGTCAAACTTAAAATATCGAGATTCTGTACACATGAGAACCCTCCAGTTTTTCAATTTGGAACACCCTGCTACGAGAGGAAAAAAGAGAGCACAAACAAAAATTAGCAACTGGGACATCACCGTGGGAGCTTACTCATAAATTCCAAATTAAAGTTGGGGCTACAATATATTATAATGCACTCCTCGGCAGTTTAATTAAATATTTAATCATTCTTTGATATTTTAAGATTGACCTCATAACAAGAAGATTTATTTTAGATCCACCTAATACTAAAATTGTCTCCCCTATTTTTTGTTAGGGCGAGTTGCACTTTTTCATCTAGAAAGATTTACATGATCTTTCTGTTAGTTTTTGTTACTCATTTCGTCAATATCAATGTGCTGATTTTTGATGAAATTAATAATGAAAATTAATAGAAATATCACATTATAATATTTTTAATACATTGAGGGTAAAATATAAAAAAACTAGTCATAATCCGTGCCTGAAGGCACGATAAAATATAAAATTCGAATGTCCAAAAAATTGATCTCATTATATTAATTTTTTAAAAATATATTAATTACAAATTAATTAAATATTGAATGATTAAATATATGATAAAAATGAGTGATGTGATATTTTTAAGAAAAAAATATATAAATGATTAAACATATAATAGAAATAAGTGATGTAATTTAACGTTTGAGTCTGACAAAAGAATGGTGGGTGAAGTAAATGATTGATAATGATTTTGAAGGGAAAAATATGACTGGGACAAAATTCAAACGCACTCCTGTTTTATTATATAGATATAATTTTTGAGACTATAAAATATAAAATCTTAAATTTTTCACAATACCAAAAAAATTCCCCATTTTTCTTTGAAACAAACTTATCTTATTTCCAAGCTTAATACACACTCCAACAAAATTGTTTTCCTGCCAAACACCTTGCAGTGTCTCTCAATTAGGGACGTAAAAATATGATATCATACGAAATTAGAGGGTTTGAATTTTTTTTTAAGTCACTCATTTTGTAAATAAGTGGGCCCGATACAACACAATTAATAAACGAATTAGGTATGAGTAACGCCAATGAAAAAAAAATACGACATAACTTGTTTAAATATCGAGTATATATGATTTATACACAACTCACTAGACACGAATTAATAAACGAATTCAATATAAATAGAATATATTTTGATGCAAATCCGCTAAAATCCAACTCGTAAGTACCTACTCTTACTTAACACACAGTGAAACAAAATTACTTTCGTGCAAACACCCGTCTTCTTCTCTCTCAACCTACATCAAAATGCAAACCTCACAAACACCACACCTAGAAAGGGGAAAAGAGAACGATGGAGGGTAGAGAAAGTCAAACCAAAAATCATGACTTTTGTCATCGTTCCATGACAATAAAACCCACTAATCCAGTGACTAAGAATCTTTTGGTGCACATAGTATTTTCCAAAAAGAAAAGTCGAACTATTACTTTTGGATCAAACCAAAGCTTGGTGGTCTAGAGGTTCTGCCCAGTGGAGGGGTCCGGTGCAGGCCGAGGGTGACTCTTCCTCTCGTTTTATAGTTTTCTGATCTTCATCAATTTTGACCAAAGTTTGAATTAAACGTGATAATCCTAACTCATTACTTAGTAATCTGTCCGATTCATTCATAAATTAATAGATTGGATACCTATATTAATTAATACGGGTTCTAAATGAGTTGGATAATATGATTCATTTTAATTAAGCGGGTTAATAAATGAGTGCTCATTGAGTTGAGTATTTATCTTTTTATTAAATAACACAAGTAACAAAATTAAATAAATATACTAATATACCAAAAAATATACATCTATATAATAAAATAGAAGAGTGTTTGAATTTTATTTCAGTCATATTTTTTCTCTTAAAACCATCATCAATCACTTATCTCACTCATTATCCTTTTGTCAAACTCAAACGTCAAATTGCATCACTTATTTCTATCATATGTTTAATCATTTATATATTTATTCTCTAAAAATATCACATCACTCATTTTTATCATATATTTAATTATTTAATATTTGATTAATTTTAAGTTAATATATTTTGAAAAAATTAATATAATAAAATCAATTTTTTAGACGCTCGAATTTTATATTTTATTGTGCCTTCAGGCACGGGTTATGACTAGTACACACTATTACATCAAAAAATACACATATATACTAATACACTAAAACATATACACACTAGCATATAAAAACACACACACAATAATACACCACCCATGACATGCGGGTTGACCCATGACCCATGACATGCACCCATGACCCAACGGGTTGACCCACAGACCAACTCCATCGACAATCGACCCGGCCCATTATGTGTGTATTTTTTTTATTAAATGTGTTTTAATTTTTATGTTAGTATATGTGTGTGTATTTTTGGTTTATTATTATGTATTTTAGTGTATTAATGTGTATATTTTTAGTGTATTAGTTTGTGTGTGTTTTAGTGTATTAGTGTGTCTGTGTGTGTATATATTTGTATTTTGATGTTCTACTAATATGTGTGTGTGTATATTGGTGTACTAATGTATTTATTAAAAATTTTAATTATTTTATTGGTTAATGGATTTAACCCAATCCGTTATAACTCATTTACTACGTGAGTTCAAAATGAATTGAATTTATTTTAGTTCAACTCAATCCACCAATTTGCCACTTCTAGTTTGAATGGTTTAATTTTGAGGGATAAATTAGTCATTTAATTAATGAAAATCTTCTATTGAAAATTTCAATTATTTAATTAATGTGATATGTGCGTGGGCGTTGTGGTGTAATAATTGTTAAATTAAAAAAAAAAACTCAATCATTTCAAAAATGCCAAAAGGATGATTAAATAATAAATCCGGACTTAGATCCCCTCAATTATCAATTCCCTTCCATTCTTTTAATATAGTGATAGATAAGTGACATGTGTAAAATTTAAATTTTAACGGACAAGATATTTTCTTATTTATTTTGTTATTAGTGGAGTATCAACCATAGTTAAAAAATTTTGTTACCAGAAAAAAATCTTTTTCATTGAGATTTAAAATCTTATACATATTATCTATCTAACATTGTATTAAAAGGAATTGAAGAAAAAGAGTAATAGAAAAGATCTGAATCAATATGATTTGTCCATATGTAGATGGAAAAAATAATCCTTATAATTAAGGGTTTTAATATCACTAAAGAGGAAAAAATGACCTGAAATAAAGAACTCTCTAATTGATGAGTAAAATCTGCACTCCAAAAGAAAATAAAAAATATTCAACTCCAACTACAGCGACAATTCTAGACACACAAATTCAACGTGAAATTAAAATTTGAATTTAAGTTTAACATATTTAGATAATAAATAGATAGATTCATTAAACCCATCAAATAAATAGATTAGTTCGATTCCGACTTAAACATAAGACGGACGCGTTAAATATAATTCATACATGATATGATATGAACTTAATATATATATTAAATAAATTTGTAACAGAAATTAATTATGACACAAACCTTAAATTTTTGTCATGCTTGTAAGGTCTTATGGTCACGAGTTCTTCTTACCCACACTGGATAGTAGCCACTGCAAAATAATGCAGTTGGGTCCCACAGGGGTCCCACGCCCTTGACATTTTTTATGAGTTAGCCGTTGCAGCAGCCATATAAAGTGAAGTTCTTTGAAAAGAAAGAAAGAAGGCCCGTCTCTCTCTCTCTCTCTCTCTCTCTCTCTCTCTCTCCGGCATGGCAGATTTCTCGTATCTGTCAGACAGCGACGATGAAAAAGCAGTGCAAGAGCTTCTCTCTCAGGCAATGGACCACTCTGTTCTTGAACAAGTTGCAAAAATAAACTGCTCTGGTTTCACTGACTCGGATCTTCCAACTCACCTAGAAACCCGGTTCCAAAAGCTCAAATCCTTCCCAGCCACAAAACCCAAGTCTCCAAATCTCACC